TGGAGACTGGCTAGGCCACTCCAGGACTTTCAAATGCTTCTTACGGAGCCACTCCTTTGTTGCCCGGGCGGTGTGTTTTGGATCATTGTCATGTTGGAAGACCCAGCCTCGTTTCATCTTCAAAGTTCTCACTGATGGAAGGAGGTTTTGGCTCAAAATCTCACGATACATGGCCCCATTCATTCTGTCCTTAACACGGATCAGTCGTCCTGTCCCCTTGGCAGAAAAACAGCCCCATAGCATGATGTTTCCACCCCCATGCTTCACAGTAGGTATGGTGTTCTTGGGATGCAACTCAGTATTCTTCTTCCTCCAAACACGACGAGTTGAGTTTATACCAAAAAGTTCTACTTTGGTTTCATCTGACCACATGACATTCTCCCAATCCTCTGCTGTATCATCCATGTGCTCTCTGGCAAACTTCAGACGGGCCTGGACATGCACTGGCTTCAGCAGCGGAACACGTCTGGCACTGCGGGATTTGATTCCCTGCCGTTGTAGTGTGTTACTGATGGTGACCTTTGTTACTTTGGTCCCAGCTCTCTGCAGGTCATTCACCAGGTCCCCCCGTGTGGTTCTGGGATCTTTGCTCACCGTTCTCATGATCATTTTGACCCCACGGGATGAGATCTTGCGTGGAGCCCCAGATCGAGGGAGATTATCAGTGGTCTTGTATGTCTTCCATTTTCTGATGATTGCTCCCACAGTTGATTTTTTCACACCAAGCTGCTTGCCTATTGTAGATTCACTCTTCCCAGTCTGGTGCAGGTCTACAATACTTTTCCTGGTGTCCTTCGAAAGCTCTTTGGTCTTGGCCATGGCGGAGTTTGGAGTCTGACTGTTTGAGGCTGTGGACAGGTGTCTGTTATACAGATGATGAGTTCAAACAGGTGCCATTCATACAGGTAACGAGTGGGGGACAGAAAAGCTTCTTACAGAAGACGTTACAGGTCTGTGAGAGCCAGAGATTTTCCTTGTTTGAGGTGACCAAATACTTATTTTCCACCCTGATTTACGAATAAATTCTTTACAAATCCTACCATGTGGATTCATGGATTTTTTTTCACATTCTGTCTCTCACAGTTGAAGTGTACCTCTGGTGCAAATTACTGACCTCTGTCATCATTTTAAGTGGGGGAACTTGCACAATCGGTGGCTGACTAAATACTTTTTTGCCCCACTGTAGGCTTCACCCGTTGCCTACTGGTGGTGGTCAGAGGGCCCGGTGGCGCCAGTGTCCGGCAGCCTCGCCTCTGTCAGTGCGCCCCAGGGTGGCTGTGGCTACAATGTAGCTGCCATCACCAGTGTGTGAATGTGTGTGTGAATGTGTGTGTGAATGGGTGGATGACTGGATGTGTAAAGCGCTTTGGGGTCCTTAGGGACTAGTAAAGCGCTATATAAATACAGGCCATTTACCATTTAGTTCAAGAAGTTATTTAATGCTGCTGTGTGCCTTACAGGTGTATTAGTGATGTGTTCAATGTTGGTCTGTTTAGCCTCTATGTGAAAGTCGGCTACGGGAAGATGATCATCTCTTTCTGCTGGACACCAAATTTAGCTTTTCTTCGCTCAAAATAAATTTGTCTTCAAAATGCAACACTTGCACCCGCAATTTTTTTTACGTGTGCTCAGAATAGTGGCACAAAAATAACGCCATACCCAGAGCTCCGAGTGGTTATAGAAGCTGTATCCTAGTTCAGGGTCTGCAGCCTTAAAGGCCGCATTTTAAGGCTGATTACGTCACAGCGACGCGACGAAGGCTGTCCCAATTCAAAGGCTGCTCGAAATGCGGCCCTCAAATGCGTCCTTCATTTCCCTGAATTTTAAGGATGGGTCTGTGTAGCCTTCGTGGCCCAACATATCCCAGACTTCATAGCGCGGCGGTGGTTTGGATAATTTTGCCGAAAAAAAACGGCGGAAGCGTTGACTGAACTGTCAAAAATAAGTACTGAATATGACGTCACTTATTTATGTGCGAATGTTTAATAATGAAGAACATTAAAACATTCCTGTTGGCCACATGTCGGCAAAGTTACAAACATAAGCAATGTTTGTACTAACTTGGTTTTAAAGCCTCTACTTCTAAATATATATAGTCGACCTTAATCTCACAGAGATGTGATGATTTATGGATAATTAAAGTCAGTCATATATCCACAAACACAACAGGCTGAAAGTCAGTGATGCTGCTCGGTTTGCAGTCCTGAACATCACGGCACAAGCAGGATTCACTGCACTGTTAATGTGAGCTGTGTTATATTGCTGCCTCTGTTCGGTGGTGTCGAGCCAAACGGACTTTAACGTGTGTTTGAACGAGCTGACGGTTCACTCGTTAAGCTGAAAGAAAGATGCTTTAATCACAGCAGTCACACATGTGTCCACTGCACCATCTGGAACTCTTCTTGTTTACACTCGTAATAACACAAACACTAAATCCTCCTGTTTGTAGCAGTGTGTACACCTGAGACTGTCACCTGTCTGTCTGTCCTGCACTCTCTCTCTGTTTCTTTCTCTCTGATTGTGGAATAAAAGTATGAACATGTGTTTATAAGTTACACTTGTGTTTGAATCCTGCAGCTTATCACACATTTGATTTCCATGTGTGACGACTGCAAGTGTCCACAGTGAGGACAGACTGAGGGACCCACTGCTGCACATCATCTGTGAGGCTTTGCAGCCCTGATGATCCACCAGGACAAACTCAGCAGTGTGTGAGGAAGAGGAGGAGGAAGAGCCAGCAGCAGCTGACAGATGGAGAGAATAGACAGACTGTTCCCTGTTTGTGAAGGACTGCTAGGAAAGTTTAACTGTCTGTGCTGAATCAGTCTTATTAGGTAATGTTCAAATAATGTGATCATCCCAGTGTTTCCAGTGTGGGAGAAAGTACTCAGAGTACTCAGGGCCTTCAAGTTACACACTATGAAAGGCAGCAACAAGTTTAATGTTCAGAAACCTAAAGTCTGTATCAGCAGCAGGATGGAACTAAAATAAATGTTGGTTTCAGTTCTATGAAGCTTTGAGTATTTTGGATCGGCATCGTGGTGGGGGGCGGCATCACGGGCATCGGCAAAAAAATAAAAAATTGCTGGTACTCATGCTGCCCCGACGTCAGCCAGCGCATATTGGGAATGGCATAGGCACCGATCGGTTTTCTATCGCCCATTTGCTGGGAGTAAGGGCGCCCTCTGTTTGAGAGGTGCGCCTGCTGCTTGCGGCACAGGGAGGAGAGGGCGGGGCGGCGGGTGATTCTCTGACCGGCTGGAGCAGCATCTAATAATCCACCCCAAAATAAAACAAAATAAAAACAAACCAACAAACACAAAAACCAGACATTATGATACAGACTTATAATTTGCACCGATGTTTTTTCAAAATTCTATACGTAAAAAGTGAGCGCGAGAGCCCTCGGTGTGCCTGCTCGCTGCTGAAGTCAAAGTAAACTTTATTGTCATCTCCGCTACAGTCCAGCATATAGAGAGACGAGACGACGAGGCTCCAGTTACAGCAGTGCAAGTAAACAAACAATAAATATAAGACCAGTAAGAAAATAAATATACACTTTAGGACTAGAGGTAAAGGGATCAATAACAATTTAAAATATATAATTTACAGGTTGATGATTTAAAGTCTCACACACAACACATCGAAACGTTGAGGGGGGCCGGCTGCTTCCAAATAGAGCACATTTCATTCATAATGCTGTAAATCCAAGCCCATTATGTGTTCATGATTTGAATCCTGGGTTGTGTGAAATCCTAGAAATAAACCCTAGACAAAGTGAATCTGTGAACTAAGGTGTAGGTCTATTAGGTTATGTTGTGGTGATCCTTGAGTTGGGGATGGGTGTTCATACTGTGCAAAATTAAAACCAAGGTGGAATAGAAAAGTTCAAAGCCATCAGGTGCTCAGTTTAGAAAAAAAGAAAAGAGGAGGAGAAACGAAAGATACAGGCAAGCAGATGTGTGATTGGATAATGGCGGTTATGTATCCTGAAACAATCAGAATACTTTATTAATCCCTAAGGAAATTATGTGGGTTACAGTTGCTCCAAGAACTGGTAAAAATAGTAACAGTAACAGACTAAACTCCAAACAATACATTATGTTACAGATTTTAATATTAATTAGTCATTATCAGTTGTTGATTTGTCCTGTTCTCAATGTACGACGAATTATGATGGCTGTTTGGTAGTCGTTTGCATACTATGCATACTCTCTCTCTTCGCGCGTGTGTGTTTCTGTGGTGAAATTCAGTATGGTTCCGACAACAGTTTTATGTTAATGTACAATCGTTAATTTTTATGTATGTGTGTGTGTGGGAGTGGGGCGCCAGAGGGAGTGTTCGTCCAGGGCGCCAAACAGACTAAGACCGCCACTGCTGTCAAAGGTACTTGTCTTTGAGTGAAGATTTAAGGTGACAGGAAATATAAATAACTGCAACTTGAGTCTCTGACCCAGAGTTCAAGCTCACTAATCAATCTATCTGACAATACATATAATATTGTCCATATTATATTTACATCACCACAGGGAGATGATTTTAGTCTCAAGAACAACATTAGCTAATTGTTATTTACTAACTAATCTTAAATGAGTGTTCAGCACAGAAAGGAAGCCCAACAATCATGTTTACAGTCCTGTGGTCTCAGCCTCAGATACTCAACTAATCAAAGTGATGTCATGACAAAAATGAATGACCAACAAAACATTTTTTCTCCTTCATTTCTGTCACACAAAGCCGTATGAGACATTTCTCGCGGTTAGTATCATGGTTGCTAGGCAACCTGAACAGCGTAGTACTTCAAGCGTGCAGTCTCCTAATTGGGACACAGCCCCTGAATTGAGATACAGCCGCAGTCGCGTCTGCGTGCGTAGTCGTCACGTGACTCGTTGACGTGGCAGACAAGTCCAATGACATAAAAGTCTTTTATCGGTCCGCTTGACTGTCTTGCACAGACCTCCAGGAGGCAGGTCGGAGCAGAGCAGCGCTGCATTCCATCCAATCACATGAAGAAGCCACAGTGACGCCTTTAAGAACCAGAAATATGTTCGCTTTGATAGTTACAATCATGTAATCATATCTTTTTCTTCTCCTCGAGATTGTTTTTGTTACATTACCGCATGTAACCTGTCAAAATGTCCTAAAATAATGAATACTGAACGGAGTCTTTTGTGGGGATAACAGTGTGCCTTTATTTTCGCGTTACAGTACAAACAATAGCTGATAACTCGTACTGACATTACAGCGACCCCGTAACAACCTGAAACGTTCAAGTTACGTTATTTCATTCAGTTTCAATTATCAGCGAACATATACATGACCACAGCAACTTTTACCGACTGTCAACATTTACCGAATGTGTTATCCTTGATTGAAGCTCTGTACATTACAAGGTGTACACGAACGCAGCACTGAACTCCAGCAACTGTCATGGCGTCTTCCTTGAAGGGGGTTTGGTACTGGAGAAAGTAGCTGCTGTCACTTACCAGTTTCTCCGTATTAAAGCGCAGCTGACGTGGACTGAAGAGTTTTGGGGCGCCGGTAGTTAAAATGGGGACCGTCCATGCTAAGGTAAAGCTTATTTCATCCCAACCTTTAGGTGCATTTTATATCATGACCTCCCTGCCCAGTGAATGCTGCAGGCTACAGAGTCACCAGCATGTGTACTTCACGTACTGTCACACGCAGTTAGAAAATGACCAACAACAATAAAAAGCGACGCGTCAAACTGGTTGATTGCTCTTGTTGATTAAACGGTTACACTTTGCCTTTAGCTCACGTAACGAGGCGAAACGCAGGTTTTTCTCCGCTGGTTTGTCACCACGTTTTAGATAAAATCCTGGTTATAGTGATTATATTTTAGGGACATTTGCGCCTTCGAGTATTTAAAGGAAAACACTAAAAATTCACACCTGTGTGAACATTATTTTCCAGTACTTGCCCAGACCAGTATTGTCATTCATTTGTCATGTCCCGCACGTATTTACTGCGTGTCAGGACTCCTGTCTTTGCTAGTACTCCACGTCCAGCGACTTTCACCGGCATCAGACACTCCTTCCTGAAGCTCCACCCACTGACCCTCTTGGCCTTTGTTTTCCAGCTGGTTTTTAAAGGTGTCATACGGAGGGTTTTTTCCAATTTGAGACTTTTTATTTCCTTCTTGTACTGTGACATAAACCATTTCAAAATACAAAATACAGCATCAGACATGGAAAAATAGCAAATGTAACTTTTTTATGGACACTTTTTCAATTAAATATGTTGCAAAAGTCAAATTTGTTTCAGGTATCCTGTGCTTCCTTGCATTAATGCACTTTATTTGTCCTCGGTGCAGAGTCTGGATCCACTCCCAATGCATGGCCGGGACTTGGATGTCCACCCTGAAGATTTCATGGAGACTCCAGACCAAGGGCAAGACTCCAAACAGGAGATCCTTGAAAACAAAGATGTGAGTAGTTGTCAAAGCAAAACATGCTAGTTGTATGTTTCTATGGTTTATTGTTTTATGTCATGTATGTTCTGCAGCTTTGGATGTTCATATTAAACATGGCCAAGTATCAACTAAAAAGTTAAACTTTTAAGAAAGTGACCGCGATCAGCCAAAAACTCAGGCCTCAGGTTGTCCGTACAGTCACAGTTGGATGTAGCCAGCTCATTTGCTTTGTAGGGTCATTGCTACAAGCGCAGCATGCACGTGGACAGGCAGAACGGCTCGCGAGCTGCCTGTTTGTAGGTTAGGGCTCTGTGAGGAACCACCAAAATATGAAATGAAACTGTCAAGATGCAAACGAAGTGCAGACCTTAATTCAAGGAGCTGAACAAAATCTTTGCATTGATTGTTAAGAAGCTACAACAGTTTTATTTGTGTGAAATGTCTGGAGATGATTTCCCTGTTTCCAGTCCTAAATGTATATATGCTTGATAGTACGGTGCTGAGCATAGCTGTAACTAAGTGTTGTGCACCACAATAGTGCAAAGAATAATAGTAACTGTTGTGATCCTAACCAAACTCCACTTCATACAAGTGTATGAAGTGTAAACTGAATGTAGGATACAGTAAGATTGCCATAGTTCATAATGCAGTGTGTTGACTCAACCACGAGGTCATGCAATAGGATATGACCATCAGACACATGATTAAAAGTAGCAGTTTTTAAAAGAAAGTAAGTGTTTGGTGACGATGTGACTTTTATCCTTGATCACAGGTGGTTGTCCAGCATGTGAACATCCAGGGTCTGGGGAGAACCAAAGAGGATCTGCTTGGCTATGAGATCTCTGATGTTTTCCATGCCAAAAATCTCATTGATGTATGTCTCATAATTCTGCTTTTCATTAAGCCGTCACGGTCGTCTCAGTGAGTCTATCTGAGATCCGTAAATAACTGCAGAGGTCTTTTTTCAGGTGATGAAAAGAGCTCATGTCGCTAGGCAGAGGCTGCTCCGCCTGGGAATCTTCAAAGACGTCGAGGTTCTGATCGACACATCTGAAGGTAACTGATTTACA